TAGCTATTAAAGCTTTCCCCATCTAAGGTTAATTTGTGTCTGCTTTGTATATATCTTATATATCTTATATATACTCATATATGTACTCTTATCTCACCTAACAATGTAAACTTCTTGAGGGCAGGGATTGTTCTATTTTATTTGCATCTTCAGCTTAGCACGCAGGAGGAACTTGGCAGATAGGTAATACAGTAGCTTTTATTTTTTTATCTTTGCATTCTCAGCCTAGCACATAGAAGGTGCTTAATACTCATTGATCTGTAAAATAAGGGAATGGAACAAGATGACATCTGAGGTCTCTTCTGGTTCCAAATCTATAATCCTCTTCTACCACAAAACAATGGGTCAATGGGTGTTTTGTTGTAGTTTAGAGAGATTCTTTTGGTTCAGACCCATGATTTCAACAGGGTAAGGAAATCCTAGCGTAGAAATGCTATGCTGTCTGTAACTTTTAGTCTTTTGAGAGTTCTCAGATCAGCAAAAGATTAGTGACTTGACCATGGTCTTACAAGGAAACATATAAAGCCAATTTTACTTTTGAAGTGAATTCTTATCTTAAAAACAGTACATAAGACCACTGAATTTTAAGCAATGTAGTAGTTTGGCTCTTGGGAAATCTTGTTTTCTCATATATTTAGAGCTAGACAAGATATTAAGTCCAGCATTCTCTCCATTGCACCATACTGCCTTTCTAGAGCTGGATTTTTACAAATGACCTAATTCAGAGATTATTAACCTGAGTCCATGGACTCCCTGAAGGGTAGGTTCAGAAAGATTTGGTGGGTGATTCTGAATTTGGATGGGAAATTTTTTTTCTTTAACTGAAACTTAGCATTTTCTCCCTTTAATTATTTAATAATTGCTAGCATTTATATGTTGCTTTAAAGTTTACAAAGCACAACACATGTTACCTCATTTGATCCTCTCAACCACCCTGGGAGGTAGGTTTATTATCCTCATTTTTACAGATGAAGAAACTGAAGCTAAGAAAAGTTAAGTGACTTGTCCAAAGTCACATAGCTAGTAAATGTCTGGAGATTTGAATTCAAGTCCAAGCCCAGTGCTCTTTTTTTAAAATTTTATTTACATTATTTTTAATTTATAGACTAAAACAAGCATTTCCATAACATAGTACAATAAAAAAAAGATGATTTCACATGAAACTGCAAATCTACCATGTACAACTTGCTATTCCTTTTAAATACAATAAAATTATCAAGTAAACTTTTTTCCTTTTTTTCCCTCCCTCCCCATTCTAGAGATGGCTACCATTAACACAAATAAATATATGTGTGTGTGTGTAAAATCATTCTGTATATACTTCTATTTATTACTTCTTTCTCTAGATGCACATAGTACCTTCCTTCATGTATTTTTTTTTTTGGTGAGGCAATCGGGGTTAAGTGACTTGCCTAGGTCACACAACTAGGAAGTGTCAAGTGTCTCAAGGCAAATTTGAACTCAGGTCTCCTGACTCCAGGGCTGGAGCTCCATCTACTGTACCACCTAGCTGCCCCCTTTCATATGTCCTTTGTAGTTAATTTGGTTATTTACAATAGTGAAAATAACTTAGTTGCTCAAAGTTGTTCTTAAAACAAAATTGCTCTTACTGTATAGTTTTGCTCTTGGTTCTGCTCATTTCACTCTTCATTATTTCATGCAAGTTTATCCATGTTTTTCTAAAATCAACAAGCTCCATCATAGCACAGAAGTATTCCATCACAATCATATGCCACAACTTGTTCAGCCATTCCCCAATTGACGGGCATCAGAGCAATTTCCAATTCTTTGTCATCACAGAGAGCAGCTATAAATGTTTTTGAACATATAGGTTCTTTTCCTTTTTCCCTAATAATCTTTGGAAATACACCTAGTAGTAGTATTGCTGGGCCAAAGACTCAACTAAAAAGTTAGTGAAAACAATAATTTTAGCAATGTAGCAGGATGTAAAGCAAATCCACATAAATATCAGCATTCTTATATATCAAACAAAACCCTGAAAAATGTATTCAATACCATCCCATTAAATTACCAAAATTTTCTTTTGCTGAATTAGAAAAAAATAACAAAATTCATTCAGAACAAAAAGTTAATAATATCAAAGGAACTAATGAAAAAAAATGTAAAGGAAGGAGGTTAAACCTAGTGCTCTTAAGGGGGTTTATAAACTTCAGACTGTGAATGGTGTCCATGACACAAAAAAGTTTAAGAATCCCTGTTCCAATTTAACAAAAATTTCAATTTTAAAGTCAAGTCATGTACACAGTATACAAAGGGCTTTGCTAAAATTTTCACCTGATCTTTTTTCCCTCCCTCCTCACTCTAGAGATGGCTACCATTAACAGTCATGCACTGTTGGTGGAACTGTGAATTTGTCCGGCCATTCTGGCAAGCAATTTGGATACAAAAGTCACTAAACTGTGTATGCCCTTTGACTTTGCTACACCATTACTAGGCCTGAAAAGATTCTATATGTAAAAAAATATTTGTAGCATTTTTTCATAGTAAACAAAAATTGGAAACTAGGGGATGGTTCTACAAGAGAATGGCTGAGTAAATTATAGTATATAGATGTAATGAAACATTATGCCATAAAACAACATAATGGACAGAAGAAACTATAAAGACTTCTATTAACTGATACATTGTGAAGCAAGCAGAACTAGAACAACTTATACAATGACAACAAAATGATAGAAAAAAGCAACTTTGAAAGACTTTAAAATTCTAGAATTTTTTGATTGTTCAGTGGGTAGGAAATGGGTTAAAGGTTTTTGATGTTTTATCAAATAAATTTATTTAATCAAAAAAATAAAATTTTCATTTGATCCCCATAGTAACCCTGTTCAGCAGCCTTATCTAAAAGATGAGGAAAATGAGGCTGAGAGGACAAGTGATTTGCTCATAGTTCACAGTTCTCACTTCTAACATGGCTGCACTGCCTTAGGACTTCTGACTTCTCCACTATGCTCCAGGAAGCTCATTATTGGGGTAATCGCATTATCCTTTTAAGATCTCATTAGCCTTGGTACTGTCCCTCAGTCTCTCTGATTGGAGGATGGGATCATGAATTCCAAACTTCCATTTAAGGAGACACCTTAGCTCACATCTCCTCGTTTGTCACCTGGCTGCATGACCTTGGGACTTTTTCTGACTTCTTCACCGTGCCCCACCATCTGGTACTTTTCCCCACAACCTCACTTTTCAACTTTCTTTTGTTATTTAGACTGAAAGTTCTTTGAGGATAGAAATTGCTTCTTTTTTCATATTTGTACCCCCAGTACTTAGCACAGTGCCTGGAACTTAATGTTTATTGGCTGTTATATAGCTAGTGATAATTAGAAATGGAATCTAAGTCATATGACGCCAAATCCAACTTTTCACCACACCATGTTTCCTCACTATGTTTCAATACAACATATTTGAAATAAAATATACATAAATTACAAAAAAGTACAAAGAAAGTACTATAAGAATTCAAAGGAAAAACTCAGATGTATTACTTATGGCTATGAAGATCAGAAAAGGCTTCAATGAAGGTGACATTTGAGTTGGGTATTGATGTGTGGATAGATTTCAACTGCAAGAGAAATGCAAAATAACACACACACACACACACACACACACACACACACACAACTGTTTTTGCTTTCTGGAAGCCTAATATTTAGCTGCTATTAGTGTTCCTTTGGTCACAGATCTTGTCTAGGGGATGGCAAGGTGTATTTGGGAGTATCAATACGTAATTACCAAAAATATTGCCCTTTGTGACTTTGTGAGGGCTTTGCTCTTTATGATGGACCAATGTTCTCCAAACTGTGACACATGGGACACTGTTGATAGTTTAGAAATGATTACTCTCACCTTCCCCTAGTTCATCTCCTTTTTCTCCACTGGGTGCACTTCTGGTACACACACTGACAACTGAGTGAATGAGGAGGCTGAGAGTAGAGAAATATTAAGAAACAATTATCAGGGGAGAAGCAAATGCCTGAGAAAATGCAGGACAAAATATGCTAGCAAATGCAAATCAGACACCTTTCTCATGCAGCTGTACTTGTATTTCATAACCATTGCAAAGGCTGGCTGTAGACTTCCTTCTAAAATACGAAGTCACTAGCAACCATTTTGCTATAAAGATGAAGGCATAATTAAGTACTCTACAAATAAGCCTGCTGATCCATCAACTCAATACACCAACTAGCAAAGAACTGAAGAGGAGCAATTGATTTCCCATTCAATTTCCTAAAAGTGAAGTTTACTTTTTTTAGGCTCACCAAGTCTTCTACTTGGCTTCTATATTTTCAACATGACTTTTTCTAAAGGAATTTTATCTTGAGAAGAGAGGCTGCTTCTACTACATGTTATTTTTGTGTTAAACTGAAGATGGTAAGTCCCAAATAAACATAAGTCAATAATATATGAAATATTCCATCTTCCTTATGCCCCTTGTTAACTTTGTAGCTGGACTCTCAGTCTGGGCTTGCCTGGTATCTAATTAGCTTGACAAATTCATGCTATGTAATAAAATATACTATAATTCTATAATGTATAGGTGTGGACTCAGAAGAAAACAGATGTAGAGCTGGCAAGTCCCTTGGTTAGAGATCATTTGGCCAACCACTTCATTTTACATCTGAGGCCTAAACAGTATAATGAATTGGCTTAGGTCACACAGGCTGTAAGTGGCAAATGTCAGCATTTAAGCTCAGATAGTGACATCAAGTTTATCATTATTTCCACTCTGATATACCACATACAGCCTCTTTCCCCACCCCCCTCAGCTGCTTTACAAGCCTAGAAATGGGAAAACTTTCCAAAATGGATTCTAAGCATGAGCCACTGAATAGATAAAAGTAACTTCCTTTAAGATTCAAAAAGTTCCTGATGACTGGCCATTTTTATGGAAAGAAATAACACATTATTATGTACATGGAAAAGAATAGACATTAAGTTCTGAAATGTGGTAGCTTAAAAGATGACAAAATGTTACAGGAGAATTAAAAATACACAATGACTTTATTTCCACCCCTTTACATAGTCAGCTATAATCTATAATGCATAAGAATTCTCAGTGACAGAATAAGCATAAAAATGGTACTTCAAGATAACATGATACTGGATAATGTGCATAAGTCAACAGTTTGGCAGGATTGTTAAATCTAAGTAGTATACACTCAAAACAACTTTTTGAATTCAAAAATAACACTTAGTTTTATTTGACATGTTACACCTTAATTTTTTAAAAATATCATGCTCTAGTTAAATATTTAAAGGACAACACTGTATACAAATAAAATATTACACAAAATATATTTAACAAAATGTTTTGGTCGATCTGAACAATAAATAAAAACACAGGTACTTCTACATATAGACACAGGAATCAGCCATTAATCAGAATAATTATTTTATACAAGCAATGTGGAAAATATGGCAAGAATTCCAGAGTTCAAGAGACAAACCATTCATGAAATGGTCTACACCTTCAAGTTATTACCTGAAGTATCAAGAATTACCCTCAAGGCCCACAGGACCATTTAGTAGTACAAATCAAACAATCTTAAGTAGTGAGCAATTCAGTAACAATTACCCATTAGCATATCATAATCATCCCTTGCCAGTATGAGAATGGGGACTATTTTTTAAATGTGATTAGCAAGAGACAACTTTTCACAACCAGCTAAGAGATAAAATTAAAATATAATATTCTAATAATACTGCCTGCCATCCCCAAACCAAGAAAACTTGTGTCCCCATTCTTGCTGCTATGATGGGTGCTTTCAAAAGTCAAGATTAAGGGAGAAATTGTCAGTCGAACCAGCTTCATTTTGAAAAATTAGGGGGCCATATTGACACAAAAATACTGGTGGGGTGGCAGCAAAGATAGAAATGATAAATTAATTTTTCTTAATTTCATCTCAGACATAATTCTCATGAAAACAGCCTTCTGCCCAGGAAATCTACATCAACCAATGTACTGAAGAATAAAATCAAATTAATGACTCCTCCATTACTTTTGGGAACAAAATAAAGATAAATCTAATTAAGCGGTTATAAACTTGGGGAATTCATGATTTTTGAGGTGAGAGGGAAACAGCATTCAAACATAATGACAACTGGGCAGAACTAAATCTTCTCACCACCCTTCCCATGAAGAATTATGACCATATGCATTCTCACTTTCCAAAATATTATATGAAAAGTTTAAATGCTTCTAAAAAGATTCCAGAAAAGCAATTCCAATGATTCAGCACAGAAATTACACCTAAATTAAGGGGGAAAATTAGGAAATGTTTAAAATATATTCTCTTACACATATTTTACTTTCAAATATTTCAGCAATTTACACGAAGATTTTGAAGCTGGGACCAAATGCTAATCATTTCCTGTGGTTTTCTGCTATGTACTAACATCAAGTCTGTGTAAGAGCAAATATTTTTCCTGTTTTTTTCTTCTATATCAAATGTTCTGAAACCTCTGTGTTTTTCTGGAGCAAGGCCAAGTTTTTGAAGGCACATGCCAGTATAAACGTCATCAATGGGATAGAGAAGGACCTGTTCGGATACTTTGTTCAGCCTCAGGGCTAGACTGCCAGAATAGAGAAACCCACCCCCTCCTGCATAAGGAGGGTAGGCACCTTCATAAACACTTTCTGGGATATAGTACTTTAGCTTTTTCTCTCGATGAGGTCCAGCATCTTTGATCACATCACCTATAAATAAGTCTTTGGCTTTCTCCATGGATATGCTATTCAAGTAATTTAGGATCTGATGAGTATTTACAAAAACATCATCATCCCCCTTGAAAACAAACTGGACATTGGGACAAGAAGTGTTCACCCACTTCAGAAACAGTACTTCTTTCAGAGTCAAGTTGAAGAAAGTATCTCTGTAGTTCCAAAGAAGAATGTCTTGGTACTTCTCACTCTCAAATTTCAACATATCTGAAAGGTCAGGAAAGTGATCCTCAGGGGGAGTCTGTCCCAATAAAAAGACTCTTACAACTGTTTGGTTCCCAAAATTAGTCTCTTTTCCCCAGGATTCTCGAATTGCTTGTCTTCTATCAAAATGGGATGTAAGGGACTTAATAGCTAGCAGAAGGAAAGGTTTCTGCTTGCACTTGTCCTGTTGGTCTATCAGCAGTGAATAATTTCTACATCTCAGATAAAGCAGAAAATCTTTAAATCTGTCTGGTAGGTTTTCAAAATCTTTAACTGTTGACATCACCAATTGGTCCGGCTCACAGGAATTAAGAACACTTGCATTCAAAATCAAATTTTCTTCTACAGTCGTATTGGCCAGGATGCTCAAAATGGGATTGTATAGGTGATTTAATTTCTCTTGTTCCCTATTCCAATAGGCCTTGGCAGGTACATATTTCCTCCAGAACTTGCCTTTGGGCATTATAACTTCTCCTTTTCCATGTTCTTCCTGGTTACCACTTTTGGATACTTCCACAATCAAATAAATAAAAAAGTTTGCCATCATCAAAACTCCCAACAACTTTATCCTTCGGCGTCCAACACTCATTTCTCATATCTGAAATTAAAAAAAAAAATCAAGACTATTAGAAACATGATAAGCTTACATTTTACAATTATTTGTATTTTTTCTTGTATGCTTTCTTTCAGTGTTTCATATATTTGCCTGTCTACCTAAATAGGTCGGTTAAGTCCTACTAGCCACGGACCATCTATTTTTAGCCATCCATTTTTTTAAGCCTCCACAGTGTCTACTCTACACAGTGCCATGTGACCTGTTGGTTATGCAAGTGATTTTGAATGTTAAGATCCATAATTCAGTTTTTAGCTTCTCTTTGCCAAATCCCCAAAAGGCTTGTCTCTGGAAGGCAAAGAAATAACATTTTCCTATTAAAAACATAAAAGGAGCTTATGGTGGGAAGATTAAATATGTATGTGGTCATTTGCTAGATGCCTCCATTCAGAATATGACCTCGTAGAAGAAAAGGACTATTTCTGCCTTTCTTTATTTACTGACTGAAATTCATATTAAACCAACTCTGCCAACTAGTGGTATAGTTTGTACCCTCGGGGTTACTGGATAAAAACAAGATATATCCTCAGAATCTGAGGGCAATGTCAGAAAAATACTAACCTCTCAAATTAAGGCCAGGAGAGAAAAACAACAACCATAAAATGGGTGGGATCAAACTAAATACACCATTATAAGATTCTGAATGGGATCTTCATGAGGCTACATTTTCTCCCTATTTAATCATGGATAGATGTTTCAGGAATAAACATGTCTCCCCAAACTCCAACAGAGACCTTAAAATGCCACAAAGACACTGACATTTTATGAATTCTAATACATTCGAGATAATGCTCTCATAAAAGAAAATTGGTGGGATTATAGAGGAAAAAAATAAGAATAAGAATTTCTTAATATTTATCAAGCATGATTCAAAGGTTGGATATAATGTATCTATCTCTGGCAGACACAAATATTCTGGTCACTAGAAAGGTGGTAGCCTATAATGGCTAGCATTTATATACTGTGTTTTACAAATATCCTGTTTTATCCAAACAACAGCTTTGCGAGGTAGGTGCTATCACTATTTTACAAATAAGGAAATTGAGGCAGGCAAAAGTTAAGTGAGTTGGCCAGAGCCACATAGCAAGTAAGTGTCTAGGTCAGATTCAAACTTTGGTCTTCCTATCTACAGGCCCAGAGCTCTAGGCACTGTACCACCAAGCTACCAATATCTTAATAGGAGCAGAAAGAGGATTAAAAATGTAAACATGGATATGAAAATGCTTGGTGAGAAACTATTTACAATAAAGGCATGGTAGGGGGGAGAGGAAAGAGAAATAGTATATGGACTTCAATGATTTATGCCAGTCTGTAAATTTGTTCATATAATTGTTCCTACAGTTGCTAAAATGAAGGTATCTATGAATAATATCTGAGCAGTTAATTTTATTGGAAAATGAAGATGGAATATGCTAGGAAAGACTCAGAAGCAACTATTTTTCCCGTGTGTGTGTGTGTGTGTGTGTGTGTGTGTGTGTGTGTGTGTGGTGGGGAAGAAGCTGGCATAATAATAAAGACTGTAATTAATTTCCATAATTTTTTAAATGTGGACTGTTTATGACTGCATGTTAATTATAATTTTAAATTCCTTCATAAGGTAAAGGCTAAGGAGATGGAAGAGATGTTTAAACAGTCACAGAATCTCAGAACTGCAAAGGGGAATGGACATGAACTAGCCCCAGGGGCCTTGAGGCCCCTGGCCTTCTAGATCCTTAGGTGCAGCCTTTTGATTGAATCTAAATTTTACAGAACAAATTTATATGTATTTTTATGTATTTTTAAAATACTAAAAACATTTTATGTATTTTTAAATTATTAACAAATATTTGTACTTCATCACCACTTTTCACATCTACTACACAAAAAGCCCAAAATAAAAAGAGTTTAACAAAAAGCACAAAATCACTCCATATGACATATACTGGCAGTCCCTCATTATTACTTTTGAAATTAAAGGCAACAGGGTAGAGTGGCCAATTCACTGGACTCAGGAGTTAAAAGATATAGGTTTGTCAGAATTTATCAGAATTGTGTTAACTCTCTGAAAGCTAAGTTTATCATCTTTCATATGGGGATAACAAGTACTTCCATATGCCATGATTGTTGTGAGGAAACCACCCTAGAAACTAGGAATGCTGTTATTAGGAACTAGCTAAAGACTCAGACCCTAGGGAGGTCATTGCTTTCCGGCTGCTGCTTTAGGTATGAACAAAGTGCTTTTGCTGAAACAACAAACCTTACAACTCCTTTTGTTATCAGCTGACACATTGTGCTTTTTGATTTACAAAGTACTTTACATGGTTTTATCATTTATAACCTTAGCATTTTGGATTTGACAATAACCTGTAGAGAGTGCCATTTCTGCTTCCTCACGCCACACATGCCATGCTCTAATGTTAAAATCCAAAATGGGATGGGGTTCCACTATCACTGGTGAAGTTTGTTGTAGAAAACTCTAGATCTTTTCTATTTTTTATCTGTTTTCTGTCCTTTTGGTTTCAACGAATCTCTTACCAAGCTTCCTGTAAACAAATTTTCCCCTCCACTGCTTCTACGTTTTATGAAGCAATTCTGCTCCTAATCTTCAGCCACGGACCTAAGATTTTTATAAACAACTGTATATCTCTCTTCTCATTTACAACAAAACTCTTAGAAATGAAATTGCCCACACTCACTGCCTCCTGTTTTACTATTTATTATTAAATACTATGTATCATGTATTAAATCTGAATACTTAGAAATGGATTGCTTACTATTTGGGGGGGAGGAGACGGAGGGAAGGATAGAATTTGCCACTCAAAATTTAAAAAAAAAACAAAACAAATGTTAAAAAAATTGTTTTAACATATAATTGGGGAAAAAATAAAACAATATCTAAAAATAGAAGTAATCATAACAATAGAAGTATCATAAAAGTCCACATGACTTCATCAAGAACAGACTAAGGGGTCATTTCCCTTTCTGACAGGGTAAGCAGATTAGTAGATCTTGGGTATTTGACTCAAGTGAAATATTTATACAACAGCTACTATGTGACAGATACTATAACAGATACTATAGAGGGTACTTAGATAGGCATAACTAGATTTTTAGCAAGGAATTTGACAATTCTCTTACAATATTCTGGTGGGCCATTAAGGAGAGATGTGACCTGGATGACAGTCCAGTCAGGAGGTAGACTTAGAAATAATTAAGTGATCAAATAACAACATGGAGGAAAGGCTGTGGGGGACTGCCCTAGGATCTGGCCTTGGCTTTGTTTTGCTCAGATTTTTATCAACAAATTAAACACAGATGATACAAGATTGCAATGGATTGCAGGAAAAGCATTAGATAAGAGAATCAGGACCCAAAAAAAAGGTATAAAAAGCCGTAATGTCAGGCCAAACAATGGGATAATACAGATAAAGTTAAAGTCCTACATTTGGAGGAAAAAGATAAAGGATATAGATGTGATATGGATAAAGGTAACTTACATCCGACATGTAGAACTTAAAAGGTAAGGTTCTACATTTGGAGAAAAAAATATCAGTTGCGCAAGTATAAGATAAGGGAGATAGATATAGTTAACTAGAAACAGTTCAGAGGACTGGTGATTTGAAAGCTCAATGAGTCAACCATATGACATGGTAGTCCAAAAAACTTTATGCAATGCTAGGCCGCATTAATAGAGGCCCAACGTCCCTAAGGGATAGGATAATCCTGGTGTGCTTTACCCTGATTAGACCACTTCTGGAATATTGTGTTCACTCCTGGTGGCCACATTTTAGGAAAAGATAAACTGGCATGAATCCAAAAGCATACTACCAAGATAAAAGAAGACCTAGAAATCATGCCACATGAGAAACTGGAGATGTTTGACTTGGAGAAGAAAACACTGAAGAGGCACATGAAAGCCATCTTCAATTATCTAAAGTGCTACCATATGGGAGAGGGCCAAGAGCAGGAGTAAAAGGTAGAAGGGAAAGAGGCAGATCTAGACTTAATAGTAAGGGAAAACCTCCTAGAAATTCCAACTGTCCAAAAGTGAACTGGCCTGACTTGGCAGAGAGTGAGTTCTCTAACCACAGAGGTCTTTTCCATTTGAAATCGGATAGTCACTTGTCTAGGATATTCAAACCTTCTTAAGATGATCCTTCTAATTTTGTGATTCTAAGAGGTGATACCTTGAAATAGTGACAGTGAATGCAAATGCTTAGGGAGAAAGTCCAGAGAGAAGAAGGGTAAGTTAGATTTGTAAGTTAACAAGGAACTGGAGGCAGAAAAACCAGCACAGCATGTCGCTGAAGTCAAAGATGGAGGAGAGACAAGGAAGAAGGATTAGTTAATAGTGCCAGATGTTACAGACAGATCAAAGAGGATAAGAAAGGAGTCCAGTAGATGTGATAAAGGGATTCATTAAGTGACTTTTCAGCAAACATTTTCTATAAAGTGACAGGTGGAAAATGTCTGTTCAGAGGGGATGCATAGTGAATGAATGGGTAACAAGGAAGTGGAAATTAATTTTTCCCTAAAGTTTGTAGCAAAGGGAAAAGAAGAACCATAGGATGAAACTTTTACTTTCAAGGGAAGGTCAGTTGTTAGTTGGCACAATGAATACACAGAATGCTGAACTTAAGAGTCTGGAAGACCTGAGCTCACTAGCTGTGTAACCCTGACCAAGTGACCTAATTTTTAGCCTCAGTTTGCTCATCTATAAAATATAATTAATAATAGAACCTACCTTTCAGAGTTATCAAGAGGACCGAAAGCACAAAAGAATGCTAGAGCTATTATTAATAATATGGCTACCTTAGCATTATCTGTAACAACACAGAAAATAGCCAATGGGGAAAGAAATTTAAAATATAGAACTAATGGCAGATGGAATAAGATTCCGGAGGAAGTAGATAGGAATGAATCAAGAACAGAGGTATAAGGGTTAGCCTTGATAAGGAACAGGACCACCCTATCCTCTGAAAAAAGGATATTAGAGAATGAATGGG